CCCGACTCATGATTTGGAGTTGGCTGCGATTGTGTTTGCTTTCAAGATTTGGAGGCATTGTCTTTTTGGTTTGAGGTTTGTGGTGTTCAGTGACCACAAGAGTTTGAAGTACCTGTTCGACCAGAAGGAGTTGAACATGAGGCAGAGGAGATGGATGGAGTTCATAAAGGACTACGACTTTGAGCTTAGGTATCATCCTGGCAAGGCCAATGTGGTAGCCGATGCTTTGAGTCGGAAATCCAGTAGTTCATCCAGTTTGCTACTTGGTAACTTCGACGTGGTTGAGAAGTTCCGCCACTTGGCAGTGACCGCTCCGTGTGCGAGCGTACTTCTCGGGTTGGAAGCATCAGATGTCGTCAACGAGCTGTTAGAAAAGATTAAAGAGGCACAAGTTCAGAGAGAGTGTCTGGATTATGTGAAGAACCAAGACGGTATGTCTTGGAATGATGATGGATTGCTTTTGTTCCAGCGGAGGATTGTGGTTCCTCGAGGTCCGTTGACAGAAGAGGTTATGGCAGAAGGCCATAAGGGTCAGTTTTCTATCCACCCTGGTGCTACTAAGATGTATCAAGACTTGAAGAAGAACTTCTGGTGGCCAGGCATGAAGAAAGATGTTGCTATCTTTGTGTCCAAGTGTTTGGTTTGCCAGAAGGTGAAGATTGAACACCAGAAGTCGTCTGGTAAACTTCAACCTCTTGAGATTCCGGAGTGGAAATGGGAGAGCATTTCCATGGACTTCGTTGTGGGTTTGCCGAAGACTCAGGTTGGCTGTGACTCGATATGGGTCATTGTGGACAGACTGACGAAGTCTGCCCATTTTCTTCCAGTGAAGGTGAGCTTCACTACAGAGCAGTTGGCCAGATTGTATGTTCGCGAGATTGTGAGGCTTCACGGGGTGCCCGTGAGTATCATCAGTGATAGGGACCCGAAGTTCACATCTCGGTTCTGGGAGGCGCTGCAGGAAGCTTTTGGTACGCAGTTGAGATTGAGTACTGCCTATCACCCTCAGACTGAGCGGACTATCCAGACCTTGGAGGACATGTTGCGGGCTTGCACGTTGGAGCAGGGCTCGGCATGGGATAGGTACCTTCCTTTGGTGGAGTTTTCGTATAACAACAGTTTCCATGCTAGCCTGGGCATGGCACCCTACGAGGCGCTCTACGGTAGGAGGTGTCGTACACCTACCTGCTGGTCGGAGGTTGGGGATCGTGAGTTGTTTGGCTTGGATTTTGTCCAAGATACCACCCTGCAGATCCAGATGATCAGGGAAAAGCTGAAGCAGGCGCAGAATCGTCAAAAGAGCTACTACGATGTCAAGCATCGACCACTGGAGTTCAGAGAGGGTGAGCACGTGTTTGTGAGACTTTCACCTGTCACGGGTGTTGGACGGGCACTCTGAGTGAGGAAGCTGAGCCCGCGTTTTATTGGGCCATACCAGATTCTTGGTAGAGTAGGACCTGTTGCCTACCGGCTTGCCTTGCCTCCGAACCTGGCCAACATCCACGACGTGTACATGTTGTGGTTCCACCATGTCCCATGGGGGTATGGTTTATGCATGTTGTGTACATGCTTTTGGATATTTGATATGTTGATTGAACTTTACATGTAATGGCTTTTAATATGCATGTGTTGTTTCATCTTGTCGGGAAGCCTGAGTATGTAACGCCATACAAGATGGTGGACCGGGGTGAATGCAAGTGGTACTTGCACGGTGTGTAGGTGATAGACGTATACCTGCACTGTCTCTGGCCAGTAGATTAGTATTGACACACGTGACATGATTATCTGCTGCATTGCATTGTTTTTGAGATGATAAACTGCTTTTGAACTTATATTGCACATGTAAGTGAGCTTGGGGTGGAAGATCCTTGAGGACTCACTGACTTACTGAGATTTCTAGATTAGAGATCTTACCCCACGTTTGGGGAATGCTTATTTCAGGATCAGGTAGTATGGGTACTGATGCCTCAGGCGGCAGGAGGCCGGAGCTTAGCTGATTTTGTTGTTTCTGCTTATTTGTTAGCATGACTGGATTTGGATGCTGTTTATGTTTTCCGCTATTTATGATATGATGTTGTTGAGACTGATGTTGGGCATGTTGCCTTATTTGAGTGAGCATGGGGATTGTCCATGACACTTTATGTTAGTGCTTTTGATTTGGAGTTGTATAAACTATTAGACGGTCCGGTCTACGTTGTTGTAGTTCCGTGACTAGAGCCACACGTTTATTATCTATGTTATGAGATATTTCAGTTAGCTGTTTATTTGTAATTACATACAGGCGATGTTTTATTAATTGATTATTAAGCAAGCTGGTAATGTTAATGGCATCATAATTGAAAAGAAAAAGTAATTCCGCATTTTTTTTTATTAAGCGCAGCTTAATACGATATTATGATAACATTGCCGGATATATACGGGGTGTTACAGTCTTCAGAGATGGAGGCAAGGGGTTGCTCTTCCGGGATAGAGTCTCCTGCAACTGGTAAAGACAAATCAAGACAAGGAACAGGAAGAACTTGATCAACTTGTGTTATCTGAGATGGGATAGAATGAAAAGATTGTTGATCAAGGAAAGTGACATCAGCTGAGACAATATAAAGCTTGGGATAAGGAGAGTAGCAACGATACCTCTTTTGAAAACGAGTATATCCAAGGAAAATACACTTAAAGGCTTTGGATGTTAATTTATCTTTTCCTAGAGTAAGATCATGAACAAAGCAGGTACATCCAAATACATGTGGAGGTAGAGGATAGGAAGGTGCTCCTGGAAATAAAACACTGTGGATCTTCGTTATTGAGTACGGAAGAGGGCATGCGATTGATGAGAAAGCAAGAGGTGATTATAGCATCTGCCCAAAAACGAAGTGGAACATTCATATGAATTAGTAGGATACGAGCAGTTTCAACCAGATGTCGATTCTTACGTTCAGCCACTCCATTTTGTTGTGGAGTGTGTAGACAAGTGGTCTGGTGTAACGTCCCACGTTTCTCTAAAAAATTAGAAAACTCAAGAGACACATATTCTTTTGCATTATCACTGCACAAAATTTGAATAGAAGCACCAAAATGAGTATTTATCTCAGCACAAAATTTTTGATAAATTGAAAATAATTCAGAACGATTTTTCATTAAATAAACCCAAGTGCAACGAGAGAAATCATCAATAAAGGTGACAAAATACTGAAAACCCAAAACAGACATTGTTCGACTCGAACCCCAAATATCAGAATGAACAATAGGAAAAGGAACATCAGCTCTTTTATTGACTCTATTAGCAATGGAGGAGCGAGTGTGCTTTCCTTGCTGACAAGAATGACAATTTAAAGACTTAAGATTGGATAAAAAGGAAACCATATGCTGAAGCTTGGAGAGGCTTGGATAACCCAGACGGCTGTGAATTAGCTCAGGAGACTCTGTGAGAGAACAGGCTACTGGAGAAGGCGGTGCAATCAGATAGTAGAGACCTCGTGACTCAATGCCTGCTTCAATCGTCTTCCCCGTACCCGAATCCTGCATAGAAAAGGATTGTTTAGAGAAGGTAATAGTACATGAAAGAGAATGAATCAACTGGCTAACAGAGATTAAATTAAAAGGAATGTCAGGTATATAATAAACAGAACTCAAACTTAAAAGGGGAGTTGGGTTGGCTTCCCCAATTCCACGAGCAGGAGCCTTAGTGCCATCAGCAAGAGTGACAGGGGGTAGGTTATTAGAATAAGAAAGTGAAGTGAAGAAATCTTTATTACCACAAAGATGATGAGTAGCACCTGAGTCTATTATCCAGGGTCCAAGAGATGATTGATAAAAACAAGCAACATGATTACCAGTGTCTTGAGTAGGATGCTGAGAAGAAACCTTCTTGAGAAGTGCCTCATAGTCGGCACTTGAAAGAGTTACTAATCCAGTAGAAGGTGGTGTAGCATTAGTTTGAGCAAAGTTGGCAGTCGGTGGCTTCAAATGAGAGTACTTCCTATAGCAGCGTTCTTCAAAATGCCCAAGATTCTGGCAATAACTGCAATGAGGCCTCTGTCTGCGGCCACGTCCGAGACCGCGTCCACTGTTCCAATTGGAATCACTAGCCCGAGAAAAGAATGGAGATGGGTTAGTACCGGAGATGTTGAGCGCTTTACTTGAGCCCTCCATCACAAAGAATGAAGGAGATGACCAGAAAATAGCAAAGAACCGCAAGAAAGCAAGAAATCGCGCAAAAACGTGCCAAAAAATCGTCCAAACAGCGGGTTTTTCGTCGATATCTTCCTAACGGATGGGACCCACAACGAACGGAGACCAGATCTAGAAAGAGGACAAGGAGGCGAGCAAGACGGTGGTTGTCCGTCCCGGAAAGGTGGCCGGACGGTGGCTCACGCGCCAGAAAAGTGCTTCAGCCGCCGGAACAGTCCACTGGCGCGTGGAGGCGCGTGGGTTCTCCGATGACCACGTGGCTTGCACAGACAAGGTCGCCTGCCAGAGACGCTTCTGATCGCGTGGTGGTTGGCAGGAAAAGTCGTCGGAAAAGGTCTCTGACGGCGGTGAACAGTAGCGGACGGTGGTTTGATGGTGGTTTCCGGCGATGAACGGAGGCTGACGATGTTTTTCCTGATGATACGAGGTTGAGAACAAAAAGTTGGTGACTAAATAGGGATTAGGAGTGAAAAGAAGGTTGCCGGTATGATGCACGGCAGGGTTTGCGGAAGCAGGGTTTCCCAGAACACAAGCTCTGGTACCAACTTAAATAATATGAAGGTAAATTGTATTTTTTTAATTGTGTATGAAACTATACAAGAGTCCTCTATTTAAAGAGGTTAAATGACCTAATGGGCTAAGCCCAAATAACCTTCTAGAATAATAAACTAATAATAATAAAACTAATATTATTTCCAACAATCATGATTTAGAAATTTAAAACAATTATTTTTGATACAGCCACACCAGGGTCCATGTCAAAAGCAAGTATAAATTTATGCTAAATTGCTACACTTCCCAGGTTAAAGAAGTACCTTATGATAAATGCTACAAACATTCAGATGGCGACAACCTCTGCAAATGCTAGGACTCTACAATCACAAAATGAAGACTTATAAAGACAATCTGATATATTTGTTAAAAATACATTATGAAAAAACCATACCTGTAACATTGGTGGTAATTGTTGTAAGGTTAATGCCTTAAGAATATCACTTGCTAGCTCATTACGTCGCATTATTAAGCCAACTAAGTCAGATCTTTGAACCATAATGCCCTTTGTACATAGCAATTAAAATCATATTACCTTCTTAACAAAGAGAAACGGATAATTTAAAGCAACATAATCTTACCTGTGTCTGATCTGATTGGAGATAATATAGAAGACCAGAATCAATAGCCTTCTGGTACCTATTAACATATTCACAAAATGAATAAAAGAACTCTTTCAGAAAATTTCTTCAGTATATATGCTGTTAGAAATGAACAGTTTGCACCTTTCAGACATCAGGAGAGTGTACAAAATCACTTGGGCGCTATGTTCTACTGATGACTGAAGATATGACATGCAAGAGTTGTAAGTGGAGAATACCATAAATAATTAATAATCTTACTAGTGTCTTAAAAGTGTTCATTGGAGTATTTATCTGATCTCACTTTTTATGGTGGAATAGAAGCGAGGACCAGAATCTTGCCTGGCTATTTGGTGTTTTTCCAGTTTTGAACTCTATCGGCATGATCTTTTCCTCCGGTTCATCTTTTCTTGATTGAACTTTCACTCTCACCGAAGCATCAATCATCCCTTTCAAACCATATTTTGGAGCCCATGCCATCTCTTCAATATCAATTACCTACATTGTAGAAAATCAGAATTCAAATTCAAATATTTTTCCGTTTTTATTTATTAGGAATAATTAAGATTAATTAGGATTGATTGTTTTTATTTCCTATTAGTTAGGATTAATTGTAATTAATTAGAATTAATTGTGATTAGGTTTAGTGAGTCATAGCTGAGTCATTCTTATGATTGTGATTAGGTTTGGTGAGTCATAACTGAGTCATGCTTAACTATTTTTTCTTGTATAAATACTCTTCATTCCTCATGTAATTATTCAATATCTATATACTGAAAACCTTTTTCAATATGGTATCAGAGCAGGTTGGTGCTGAGAAAACTCAGCCACCACAACCACATTCAAACCGGAGGCACAACGCCGGAAAACTCAACCTCCAACCATTATTAAGGTTATTTTCCCTTCCTACAAAGTCCCAAGAGCAAAGTAAGGCTACCAATCACTGTAGAAGGCAAAATCCCAGCTTTCCACCGTCGTCAGCAGTCGTTGGAAAATTTTTCCGGCGACATTTCCGACCAAGATCCGCACCATTCGAAACAGAAGGAGCCGATCTACATGTTTCAAGAAGGACCATCGGATTCTGCTGAGCCACGCGCTAGAGAAAGGACGGAGCGTCCGCCCTACGCGTTACCACACGCAGCCATGTTGATTGAAAGTAAATTTCCATCCAGCAATGTTGCTCAACAAGGTATAGCGTTCCATGTTGATAATAGTAGTCGATGGATTCTTGATTCAGGGGCTTCAGATCATATGACAGGTAATGCAACCTTATTTTGTTCTTATATCCCTTACTATCAACGATCACGAATAAGAACAGCAGATGGCAGCTTCTCTACTATTGCTGGAAAAGGATCCATTAAACTTTCTGAACACATTACTTTGAACTCAATCCTTCATGTTCCCTCTCTTACTTGTAACCTTATCTCTATCAGCAAACTTACGTCTGAGTTACATTGTGTTGCCAAGTTTTCTATCAATACTTGTGTTTTCCAGAAACAGGACTCGGGGCTGATGATTGGCAGTGCTAGAGAGGAAGAAGGACTTTATTATTTAAAAAAAGATTCTTGTGAAGGAAAAAATTTTGTGAACCACTCGGTATGTTTGTCTGATGATTGTAATGATGTTTTGTTGTGGCATCGTCGGTTAGGACACCCAAATTTCATTTATCTTCAGAAGTTGTTCCCAAGCTTATTCATCAATAAAAATCTCAGTTCTTTTTCTTGTGATATTTGTCAGCTTGCAAAACATTCTCGTGTTTCTTATCCTCCTAGAGTCCATCATGATTCTTCTCCATTTACCTTGATTCATAGTGATATACGGGGTCCAGCCCGTGAAAAAAAATATCTCTGGTGCTCGTTGGTTTATAACTTTCATAGATGATCACTCTAGGGTATGTTGGGTATACCTTCTAAAGGATAAGTCTGACGCTGCATCCATTTTTAAAAACTTTCATGCTATGGTTCAAACTCAGTTCCAGACCTCTATCCAAATTCTTCGAACTGACAATGGTACTGAATATTTTAATTCTGTTCTTGGAAACTATCTCAGCCAGCATGGTATTCTTCATCAAAGTTCTTGTCCTAACACCCCTCAACAAAATGGGGTGGCTGAAAGAAAAAATAGACATCTCCTTGAAGTTGCTCGAGCTCTTATGTTTACCATGCATGTCCCTAAATATTTGTGGGGGGAAGCTGTCTTGACTGCAGCATACCTCATCAATCGGATGCCTTCTCGTGTCCTAAATTTTCAATCTCTTTTATCTTGTCTTACCCATACCTTTCCTTCTTTCCGGGCTCATTCTTCCCTTCCTCCCAAGTTGTTTGGTTGTGTGGCTTTTGTACATGTTCCTCCCCATCAAAGGTCCAAGCTCGATCCTAAGTCCATTAAATGTGTCTTCATAGGATATCCTCCTAACCAAAAGGGCTACAAGTGTTACTCATCTTCACTTCGTAAGGTCTTTGTTTCTGTGGATGTCACATTTGATGAGAGACAATCTTTTTTTCCTTCGACTTCTCTTCAGGGGGAGTCTATTGGGGTTGATGAAGATAAGTCTTGGAAACCAAATGATTCTGTTGTTTTGCCTTTGCCGTTGGAGACAGGGGGAGTCATTATGCAAAAGACAGGGGGAGTTAATGTGTCAGATAATGGAAATCCTCCCGGGAAATGGGGAAAGTTTTACAACAGGCGAGAATCACCTCAGGAGCCTCTAGACGACTGTCAGGATTCTGACTCGAGTCTTAGTTCCAGCAACACTGATACAGCTAACCTAGATGTGCCTATTGCTCTCCGAAAAGGTACTAGATCTTGTACTGCTCATCCTATTTCTCATCATATCACATATGAAAAGTTGTCCCTAAGTTTTCGTGCTTTCAACACTATGTTAGACAGTACAAAAATACCAAAAAATATCCAAGAAGCACTTGATGATCCAAAATGGAGGAATGCAGTCTTTGAAGAAATGGATGCACTCAACAAAAATGGAACTTGGGAGTCTGTAGCATTACCCAGAGGAAAGAAAACAGTAGGTTGCAAGTGGGTGTTCACAATAAAGTTTAATGCAGATAACAGCATCAACAAGTATAAGGCCAGACTACTCAAACTCATGGGATAGACTATCAAGAGACATTTGCCCCTGTTGCCAAGCTTAATACTATCCGAGTTCTTTTATCACTTGCTGCAAATCTTGGTTGGCCCTTGCAACAATTATATGTAAAGAATGCTTTCTTGAATGGTGATCTACATGAAGAAGTTTATATGGATCCACCACCTGGTTTTGAAAATGGAGACGATTCAGTATGCAAGTTGAAAAAGTCTCTCTATGGTCTTAAACAATCTCCTAGAGAGTGGTTTGAGAAGTTTACTCAAGCTGTTAAGGGAAGAGGATTCCTCCAAGCTCAGACTGATCACACTTTATTTTTAAAACACTCTAATGGTGGTAAAATTGCTATTCTCATTGTTTATGTTGATGACATAATTGTCACAGGTAATGATTGCGAGGAGATAAGCTCTTTGAAGAAATGTTTAGCTAATCAGTTTGAACTGAAGGATCTTGGATCTCTCAAATATTTCCTAGGCATGGAAGTTGCTCGAAGTAAGGCAGGAATTTCTTTAACTCAGAAGAAATATATTCTAGACTTGTTACAAGAAACAGGAATGCTTGGGTGCAAGCCAGCGGAGACTCCAGTTGAACCCAATATTAAATTGGGAATCGAAGATGGGAAAGAAGTTGACAAAGAGCAGTATCAGAGATTGGTGGAGAAGTTGATCTACTTATCTCACACTCGGCCTGATATTGCATTTGCAGTTAGCATGGTTAGTCAATTCATGCATTCTCCTAAGGAAAAACACCTGAGTGCAGTTTATAGAATTCTGAAGTACCTCAAAAACACCCCTGGTCGAGGATTGTTCTTTAAAAGGGGACACAAGAGGATGATTGAAATATATACAGATGCAGATTAGGCTGGTTCTGCATTGGACCGAAGATCCACTTCAGGATATTGCACCTATATTTGGGGAAATCTTGTGACCTGGAGAAGTAAGAAACAAACAGTTGTTGCCCGAAGCAGTGCAAAAGCAGAATTTCGGGCTCTAGCCCATGGCATTTGTGAAGGAATTTGGTTAAGAAGACTCCTTGAGGAATTGAAGATCTCTTTTTCCCCACCTGTCAGAGTGTATTGTGATAATAAGGCTGCTATCAGTATTGCTCAAAATCCAGTTCACCATGACAGAACAAAACATGTGGAGGTTGATCGCCACTTTATCAAAGAAAAAATAGATGATGGAAGTGTATGTATGGTGTATATTCCTACCAAAGAGCAGATTGCAGATATTCTCACTAAGGGCCTACACCGGCCAGCCTTTGAAGACTTGATTGGCAAGTTGGGAATGATCAACATTTACCTCCCAACTTGAGGGGGAGTGTAGAAAATCAGAATTCAAATTCAAATATTTTTCCGTTTTTATTTATTAGGAATAATTAAGATTAATTAGGATTGATTGTTTTTATTTCCTATTAGTTAGGATTAATTGTGATTAGGTTTAGTGAGTCATAGCTGAGTCATTCTTATGATTGTGATTAGGTTTGGTGAGTCATAGCTGAGTCATGCTTAACTATTTTTTCTTGTATAAATACTCCTCATTCCTCATGTAATTATTCAAAATCTATATACTGAAAACCTTTTTCAATATACATTATTCACAGATGCCTCTAAAATTATATAGAAAGTTCATTTTATGGAACATACAATATCAAGGACATTGTAACATGCATTTTTTAGCATATCTGGGATGGATATGTATGCAATACACAATCAAACATTTATGCTCAAAACTAGCAGAGACTGCTTAAGCAAAATACAAGCAATTAGACTTTCTTTTGACTTCAGATAAAAATTATATCAAAATAGAAGAGAGAATAGGTACAACTAAAACAACTACAAGGTATCCTCCAAAATAACCAAACTGAAAAGGCAGATGCATATCTGTGACAAATAAGCACTTAAGTATTGGAATATAAACTGCTCCCTTGCAATTTGTTTAGTTATATTGTACTCCATCTACAAGATGTATCATGTATATATACATTTGCATAATAATCCAAGAAAGATCAGATAATCGAACACGAGACCAGATTAGAGCTTGCCTCAGATATGCTAACTTTCTTCCGCCCATCATCAAATCCAACATTAGGGTCTTTTCTTTCCTGTCAAAACCCTATGTGATCAGTCACACTATTTGACAAAAGGAAAAGTGTTGATGACTAAATATTTTACTAAGAAATAAAATTTGAACCTATAAAACCAGTATTATTAAAGAAAAAAAAAACACAAAAAAAGAGTAGCACATTTTGCTGGGGATACGACAGCTACACATCTTATTGTTGAGTACTTAGGCAACAACTATATGAATGCTTATCCATGCAACACTAAATGGGATCTGCAACTCAAAATTTCTTGCCAAAATATATCCTACAAGAAGCTAGTTTCAAAACAGCCTTAACTTTCCATCCACCCTCTTTCATCCTGACAGACGATAGCATAAAATCTCTTTCTCCAATATTGAACATATCTAAAATAATTAGCACGAAGTCTAGGATACGATTCTAAGCTCTATAACCATTAAAATTTCTACTCAACAAAATATTAAACTATATGTATTAGAAAAGGTAAAAAGAAATACCATATGACATTCAAAATGACAGTTACATTTGGAAACAGCAAAGGAATTCCTTCCATTCCAAAAGATGATCATGAATAATGTTTCAAAAGAAAGCACAAATTATATGACGCACCTCCGAATTTTTGAACAGCATGATCCAACTCAATATTCTTGGGATAGCATCAATCAAGGTTTTGTGAACATCATTTTCATTTACTGCAATATTCACATGCAGAAGAAATTAATGCTCCAGTCAACACTCAAAAGAGAAAAAGTTTTGTTGATTAAGTTCCAAACTATAAATGAGATGTATGTACATATAAATGCATGATACACATAAAGACACAATACCACACCTCCACATGCATACAAACTTTCAATGTTTCTCTGTACTACCACTTCTGTGTAATCTTCCAAGAAGTTTACTGTAGGATCATCTTTTGTAAGCCCAGCCTGCAGCAACAAACCAAAACGCATCAAAAAGAAAAAAAAAAAGGCATGATGAAGCAAAAGAAACCGAAGCTTAATGCCTGATTTGTAGGTATGAGAAAGCATATGAATATATATAATGTCTTACAGAGTAAAGTATGAATTTTAGAGACCTGGAAAATTTGGTGAAGCAAGGTTCCAGTTAATGCTGGAATTGAGTACTCATTGTATTTTAGCCTCTCATCTAAGACTGTTCTCCTTGGGCAACTAAAACTGGCAGCAACCTGGAATATACGTTTGTAATAGGAATAAATAAACACACACATGCATATAACACATATAATATATTGAACTGCATATTAGGGCATTCACCACAGACAATCCAGCCTGAAGAAAGTGTAGTTCTTACAGTTCAGACCATGAATGGCAATGAATGTATGTTACGGTTGGTATTTCACAAAGAGGTCAGCCAGCTACTTGGAGGGTATATTCCTACGAGTTTGTTAGTTAGTTTAGTGATGGGTGATATTGTATAAATAGGGAGTTGTATTTTGGTAGAGGGACTTCCGAGCATTTTTCTGTTTAGAACAGAGGGTGATCTCAGAGTGAAGGGACAGTTATCCCTTGTAAAGAGCTAGGCTCTTTTAATCTTTCACCTTTAATTCAGTAAAGATTCTTTTCTTACGGTGTTGCTGTGTGGCCATTTTTATGCTACTTCTTAGTGCTACAGTGGTCCAACCGACCAGATTTCTTTTGAGGGAAATGGCTATGATTTAGGCCAGGGTGGAGGCTCTAGAACGATCAATTGAGGCTTTGCAACAAGGGAACGGGAAAACCAATCGAAATCTTGGAGACATACAGGTTCTCATGAAGGTGATAATTTAAAGGAACCAACCCAAAGTGAGGGGGAAGGTATCGGTACTGGGTCTACAAAGGGGATACTGTTGACCAAATGGGACAAGGGCCAATTCTTCTTCTAAACCCAATGTATCTCACTCAAGGGGTCGTAAAGTGACTCATTCATAATCCTCAGTGAACAAAAATCCCTCTTACTCAGGTGAGATGAAGGAAGGTGTTTCCAATGTGACTTGCCTTCTTTCCTGGACACAAATGCCAAGCAAAAAGTTCACAGCTCACCATCCTCGATGAGGGCAAAACGGAAGGTGGGGGCGACAACAGTGGGCCAAATGCAATGGTGCAGGAGGCAGGGAACACAGAATCTGTTCCAAATTTGGATCTCCAGTGGCTAGGGTTCTCACTATTCTTCGCTGGTGATTTGACACAGCCCATGACAATGAACATTAGGGTATAGTTAAAGGCAAAATGTGCTGGTTCTAATTGATAGTGGCACAAGCTACAATTTTGTGGGCCATAAGCTAGTGCGTGCATTGTCATCTTATGCAACTCCATCTTTTGGGGTATGATCAGGTGATCGCCAACAAAAGAGGTCGCAAAGTTCTGTCTGGTTGGAATTGCACCATTTTTTTATAAATCAAATAAAAAATGTAGTTTTGGTTTAACTAAAGTGGAGTATTTAGGACACATACTTTTGTCACAATTTTTTTCTTTTTAACTAAGTAGTATCTTCAATATTACTTAACATTACATTATTTTCTACTTTCCTTTAAATAAAATGCTAAAATTATTAACAGACTAGCAAAGAGAGACTGCAAAGTGGATGATGAGGTAACAATACGCCCAACATTCTATTCAAACATGTGGAAAAACCCAGAAACAAGTGCAGTAAAGCACAGTAACTCTGTTCCCCAGTTAGAAAAGGAAGAAACATATAAACCTTTTAATATTTCTTACCAACCATTGACAAGGAAAGTAAACGAGTCATGAATTTTAAAACAAAAATGCATGTGACTAATCATAAACATAAAGTTCATCGCAATTTGAAGCAGATTCACAGTAGAATAGACAAGAGTCTTATTACAAAGAAAAATTGATAAGATATAGTTGCATAATTAGAGTGTAAGAAATAATTGTTCACAAATAAAATTCTGACAAATCACCTAAATTGTATTTCTTGTAGTAAATTAAGGAAACTGAAGTCACATACAGAAATATGTAATATGGTTGAGAGAGTAAAAAGCTATCTACCCGTGTTCCAGACACCAGAATATCTGGGTGTATAATCAAAAAATTATTATCATGATTAATATCATAATTTCCCCCTTCGTCAAATTGACCGATTATGTTCACAGTATCTCCAGGTGCAATTACACTGTAAGACCTGCATAGTTCAGAAAAGGAATTAGAGATGTTAGAAATATGTAAATAATCAATTCAACCCAAAAGCTTAAGCTGTTGGGTGAGGCTACATTAATAGTTTTATATATCTCAACACTCCCCCTCACACGAGAGCTCACTGGGCTTGAAGGGTGGACGATGCACAGGCCCACCTACCTGTGCGAAGAAAGAAACTCCACTAGAAAGAAAGTGGAGGGGCGGTGAGGATCGAACCCGGTACACCGAGGCTCTGATACTATGTAAAGAACCAATTCAACCCAAGAGCTTAAGCTGTTGGGTGAGGCTACATTAATGGTTTTATATATCTCAACAAAATATGATTATGAAAAAAAAAAAATTAACAGGCAGGACAAAACAAAACTGAGAACTCGAAAACTTTAGTTAAGGGTGCTTTGATTATAAGAACTTGAGTAAATAACCATAAAACTAGAGAAACAAAAGATGTATAGAGAAAACCCAATTACTGTAATTGGAGTCACGTAAGTGTCTGGTGCCTTAACTCTATGGTATTAAATGAGGCTGCGTACAGCTATATACAATAACTACAATAATTATGACAGCTACTATTTCATCATTCCCCCCTCAAACTAGAGCATAAAAAATGCACCAAGCCAGTTAAGAATGTAGCCAACCCAAGTACCACAGAGACACTAAGTAAATACATCTGCTAGTTGGTGATTAGAAGAATTGACAAAACAAGTAGCAATGCATCCTACAATATCTTCTCCTGAATGGAATGACAATCGACCTATATATGCTTTGCAAGATAGTGAATACTCAATAGTGGCCAGAGCGGCTGTTATCGCACTAGACGTGACAAAGTGGGGCACATCTTCCCATCCCCACTCACAAACACTCATGGCAGAGCTTTTAAGGGTTACAGCATAAAATCTTCTATGCTTGTACCAACACTAACCATCATTAATATATAAAACCATAGCCGAGTGCTCAAAAAGTCTAATAAGGGCAAAAATCAGTAGTAGCTTCTGGTCAATATTGTTCCACATATCATAAGGGACAATACAACGGTAGATGGCAGCCACATGCAGAGGATGGAGAATATACAACTTCAGTGTCTGACATATCAGGACTCTTGAAGCTGATCCTGTGGCATGTGATGATAAAAGAAGACTGAATTGTGGGATGGAGAGAGGCACAGTCAAGAGAACAGAGAGAAACATGCTACTGCAGGGAAGCAGAGAAACAAAATCTCCTATGGTGAGAGTTACAGTTAGCAGTTAGGGTTTTCCCCCGTTAACGACGGATACTATGTCAATGTAAAGGTAGACAGAGAAAGGATCAAGAGAGAAAAAAACCAATTAATTTGTTGGAGTCAAGTGTCTAGCACCTTACATCTATTAAATATATAAAAACAAGGTCGAGTACAATGGTACATCCCGAAGTATAAGTTTGACAGGCATATACAATAACTAAAATAAAGAACAATAACTATAACTATGACAGCAACTATTTAAACAATATCAAAAAACATTTCGATATTCCCAATACATAGGACAGAAATGCCACAAATAAAGGATGGACACATTGATATAAGCTCAAGTACATTAGAGCACACCAGCTTACCACTCATCCCACAAGTTTACAGCCCGCTCTTCTCCAGTTTGTTCATTTAGTAAACGTAGCACCTGGAAAGCAGTGGATCAACTAAATCATTTCTTAAATTCTTAGCAGCAGTAAGTAATTGTAGCAATGAGCTTCACTAGACCTTGTATGGGCATTGAGCAGCAGATGATTCAGCAGGCCTACGTTTATCAGACACCTAAAGTAAATTGCAGAAAGCCAATGAGAATTCATTTTTTGTGCTCCGAAGAACCAGTAAAACAGAGCTTTATTCAAAAAAGCATACCTCCAAAACCAAATAATTAGTATTGGAGAAAACACTAACAACTTCTCCCGCATGGTTGGCTCGGACAGGGAGCTTATCAGCAATTCCATTTTGAGATTTAGAGGAATAAGTACTTTTATTATAAACTGTAGCATTGTCAACAGAAATGGCATCTTCAACTTGATCTAACAGTTCAAGCAATGCCTATAGAAATAAATATTTATATTAATATGTAGCTTCCACTTATAATGGAACTACTGAAGTTTAATCATTTTATAGAATAATAAGCAATAGGTCACAAGTCTCCTTTATGAAACCCACACAAAAAAAGTGTGGCAATGTATACTTCAGAGGTATCCTTCCTGAAGCTGTAAGGGAAAGAAAACATTCAAATAAACTACTTTTAATTGAATGGTGATATTAACAGTAGTTTCCTGTACAACTTTAGCAACACAAAATTGACAACTTAAAAAGGTATGTATCCTAACGCACCACTGTGTGCTAAAGTAATTAATTCTGGTTGTTTATTTTAATGCTTTTCCAAAAAATTTGGGTTCAAATTTTTCCTCTCTAGGCATGGTTTGGATTGTGCCTTATGGTTTGGGATGTCACACATTTGACTTATGTTTCACTAAAATTAGATCATTTCTATTCCAAAGTAAATACTAAATCATTTTCTTCTTCTTCCCGATCCAACTATTTCTTATATCTCTACTTTATCAAAAGGAATATATCTACTTTGTTCCCAGAAGGTGTTGCAAATTACCAATTTGATTTGGTAGTAATTATAGGGGACCTCTCAGTAGTTCAGCTGGGTCTAAATGAATTGCTATAACACAAATCAACTGGGAGATCTAACCTTTTTGTGCTGTCTTAAGTAAAGCTGATCAGCTGGTCCACCATGTTCAATATCTTTGGCAAGCTACACTGACAAACACAACATTAAAAAAGTAAAAAGAAAACAAACTCAAGCTTGCAATTTGATATATGAGAAGGATAACAAATTTTGAAGAGTTGGAGGAAGTTAATAAATCAACTCAACCAAGGAAAAGGAACACTTAAGTGTCCATTTTTCTACAAAACAAATAGTAGCAACCCATGAGCAGGACGTAAGGACCAATAACTAGAAGATAAATTACCTTATCATGGCTATAAGACAAAGATGGTGGAGTTCTGAAGGGACTCTGTCCACCAGCTACTCCAGAGTTACTCACAATAGTTGCATTGACGTTAAAATCAGCATCTTGGCCTGGGTTTATTCTTTTCAAGCCTAACTTACTCGTTGACACCAGAGATTTTGCAGAAGCCTTAGGAGTTGGTGAAGTAAGAAACTTTTCAACTTTGCCATCTTTATCCACAGAAGTCTGCACCATGCATCGTTATTACCACAATCTTATTCACTAATAAGTCTCAAATTAAAAGAACATGCTCCTCATAAACTTGCCTTATCTTCTGAGCAGCTGCGAATTGGCAAAAAGTTGATTCTGGAAGAGTCAGCCAAAGCTTTGATTATATTAGGCATGTGTTTTGAAACTGATTGGAGCCTTTCATTCATCGGGGATATCTTCCATGTAACCTCATCAACCCCATCATCCTGGCTCTGCTTGACAAACTATCCCCAAAATATATGTCCACAAAGCTAATTTCAGAAACATAGGAGGGAAGAAGAAACAAATAACACAATGCACAAAGAACCATTCACACACAAGCACATGCATAAAAAATGTAGTTATCAAATACACCCACTCAATACTTGCCAAAATAAAGACTAAAATTTGCAATTTGAGTTAAAATAAAAACGTAATAGTGAAGTAAAAAACGTACATTAATCAAGTAGTTTAAACACAGGCACGGTTAAATTTATGTGATTCCACCAACATCCATTAGTTCAAGTGGTAAAGAACTTATTCCCCTTAAGCAAATGTCTCGAGAGCCCCAAGAATAGAAAAAATAGTCTTGGGAAAGCCGAATAGGTTCAACATTACTCGAACGGGATTAGTCAGACAAAAAAATAAAAGAAAACTAAACTGATTCCATTAATGCCAGACAACTCGTAAATGGCCAATATGTGCACTGAATAGTAAATACTGATGCTAAACGACCAGGCTTGAACGGCATCTAAGCAAAAAAATTGTTCATCACTTCAACTTTTTTTTACAAAATGGAAGTCGCCCATGTCATTCGTTTTCAATCAAACTTGTGGTTCAAAAAAAAAAAAAACACACAAAAAGAAAGTTTACCATCCCAGGTGAGAATTTGAAGCGCTTAAGCGAGAGAGACTTGGACATCTCTGGAGACACCTCGGAGAGAGTCTCTGCCGCATTAGTCCTCCAAGACACCGAATTCTCGGGCGGAGTATTCTGCGAATTTGGACCCTCTTCGTCGTTAGGTTTTCCGCGTCGGAGAGGAACGGAGGTACCGGAAACAACCTCGGAGGTATTAGAAACAACCTTGGAGGTACCGGAAACAACCTCGGAGGTGGGAACCCCGACAACGGGTGTATTGGGATTTGCATTGTTGGCTTGGAGCTTCTGAGAGGTGAGGAGGGTGTGTCGATCGAAGAAGTGTTGGATGCCGAACTTGGAAGGTTGAAGATTCGGCTTCTTAGACGAAGAAGAAGATGAAGCAGAAGAGTTGGGTTTCTTCCTCGGAGGCATTTAGGGTTGTTACTTTTTCTACTTACTCGATCTTCCACTGCTTCTTCCAGTTCCAGTTTTGCAAGACAAGGTATGACATAAAAAACGAAAAAAAAAATAAGAGAGTGAATTTATATGCTTTGTTTTCCCGCCTTAACAGTATCGGTCATTGGGCTTCTCCGCTTCCCTTCTTTTCTTTTCTTTTCTTTTTTCTTTTATATACAACAAAGGCCCCCGTTTTTTTTTTTTTTTTGATAACCAAACAAAGGCCCCCCTTTTAGTTGACATGGTGCGATAACATATACGGTAACACTTTTCTTATATTGCATAAGAGAAGTATTATTTCTTATTCAAACAATAAATAAAAGAGAAAAAAAAGTTGGAGATGAAAGAAAAAAAAAATATGAAAAAAATTGGAGATGAAAGAAAAAAAATATGGAACCCATTTAAAGAATATGAGTGTAGAAGATAATACTTCTCTTATGCAACATAAGAAAAGTAATTCCCTAACATATAATATGAAATCTTTCTGATAAACTTTTAATATTATATAATAGGGTTCACTTTTTCTACAATCAACGTAGATAACTTATCTACATTGGGCCCAAAATGACGTCATTTTTAGATAAAAATCAAGGTATTTTTGTAATTATAATTTATTAGGGTTATAATAGTCTTTTTCATTATAATTTTTCAACCAAAACAACATCGTTTTGGGAGCGAATGTAAATAACTTATCTGCATTCACTTTAGAAACATTTAAGCCTATATAATATGTAGTATAATGTTTTATAAAATGTTTTACTTAATCAAATCATAAAGAGATAAGATTAATGCTAATATCATGCAATTCTAAGCGAATTATGATATAATATTAATATGGCACTAAATCATGTTAATAAAGCCTAAAAATAACTCACCACTAGAGAGTTATCAAAGCTGCTGGTTGAAGAGGGGAAAGGAGAAGGATGGATCGACTTAGTGGTTTGTGAGGTGTCTTAAGTGTTCAGAGAAACATTGATTTTGACTACTTTGTTAAAAATGCCTAATGAGTCCCTTTGAATTTCTTAACTTAATAACTTAAAATCAAAACACAGTCAATCACTAATGTCATCACTTTGAACCAATAGATTTTCCTAAACTTCCTTAATTTGACTTTAAAATTAGGTTTAGACAAAGTTTCGTCTATTTACAAATTGGTCAACTTTACCATATATAGACTTTGACCCATAATCTTTTCTTATAATTACATTTGGGGTCCTAATTGACTTGTTTGGCATAAATTATATCCTTGTCCATGTTATCATGTTAATTACATAACTAACTTGTCATTACTTGTCATGAATTCCTTGAACACATACTTAATTTCTTGAACATCAACGTAGACTTCAATGACATTGCTAATATATTTCTCAAACATCTTTTTCTTCATCCACTGGTAGTAGCTCCAGTGTTTTTGAGCTCGAAGGGAATCTCTGTGTAGCAATTACTATCCTTCTTAGTGATGAAGTCAGTCTTCTCATCATCTTTGGTATGGGTGTAAATGAGCCAGACCAAGCCATACTCTAACTCAAATAGGTTATGTAAGAACCTGCACTGCTAAATTATGAATCTTAATACTTTAATCATGAGATTAGGAAATATTCCATAATTAACCTTGGATAATTTATAGTGAAATTATAATAATTACTATAAATCTGCTTTTTGGAAGAAAAGTGAAAATACTGTATATTTCGCTATATAAATGTGTACCGGCGAAGTGACCCGAAAAATAGAAATAAAAAATGCATATTCCTAGAAAAATAACTACGTTGATATTATAAAGTTTGAAAGAAAAATAATTAACATAGGTGTTGGAACTAATATCGATAGGTTAAGTGAGCACACTTATATAACCTTAAAGTATGCACTCAATCCTAGGTTTTATAACTCTCACGTAGTCACTCTTTCAAAACACTACATGGTTTCCATTTGCTCTTCACCATAGCTCCCACGACTTTTGTTTCAAGAAACCCTCAAGACTCCATCTTTCCTCTTCCTCCTTCCATCCCAACCTTGTAGATACTTCAGAACAAGCCTTGAGAGGGAGAAAGACCATTTCTTGAAGAGTTTTACTTCTGTTTTGAAGAGAGTTTAGGGTTGCCATCTTGGTAATGCGAAGTTGGTACCATTTTCACACCTTTGGAGCATCAAGGAGTGACCTTTAGGAAGCAAGGACCCTATTTTATTGAGTTTAATTCGTACACCTTGTGAGGCAGTAGCAAAGGGTGGGCTTTTCATCTTGAAGACACCTCTTTTATTATGTTTTGAGCTTTGGGTATATGTTTCAACCTTTGTTCTAGGGATTTTTAAGAAAGATTGAGTCTTGGACTTGTAAAATGAGTAAGTATGATAACTTAGGTAGCCACTAGCATGAATATACCTAAAAACGTGACCTTGAACTTCTGTTATATGAAAAAGAGGAACCTTGATGGATTTTTTTGTGAAGGATGTATTTCTGCATTTCTATCACGAAGTATCCGAATATGATATCCGGATATGGGATCCGAGATATCTGGATATTGATATCCGGATATATCCCCAAGGAATATCCGGATATTCTGCATATTTCAAGTTTTATGTCATTTTGCTTGGACATAATCTATTCTAATGCTATAGAACCCTTAAATGGACTTTGGGAACATTTGTAAAATGAATCTAAGTCAGAAGAATCTAGGGTATGTAGTGTTTGAAGCTTTGAAAGAAGCCTTCAGTACGCGAAACAAAAAAGAAATAGTGTTCCTTTCGACTTAAAAAGCTAGGATATGATTATTAATGGTAAGAATATTATGAAAATAGATCTGTGACCTTGTTGGATATAACACCTCGTAATTCTAAAAACTATAATTATAGTTAAAATATGGATTTAAGGGTAAGATTAGTGAAAATCCTGAATTCGGAGTCAAAATACGTAAAAAGGGTAAAACGGTAAATTGCCAAACACGTAACCCTAGGAAATGAAATGTGAATAGAAGGTCTCAAATGGGAAAAATAACCCTGGAAATGGATTCAAAACGAAAAATTGAGTGGTTAGGCAAGTTTCTGGAAATTTGATGAATAGTTTTTTACCGGGTAAAAATACAGCGGTATAGTTGCACTGAAAAGCGCGCCGAATGAATTATAAGCTCTAGACTTGGAAATAAGTTATAAATGGTACAAAAGACTAAGAATTATGATTTCTGATGAAAATTGATTGAAATTATGGTTTTGGGGAAGCGTTCCCACAATGCACTTAACAGCTTAAAATTGTAATTTCACTGAACAACCGGAAAACTCCGGATTCATCTACTCAAGGGCAATTAAAGGACATTAGTGAATGTTAAAATTTGGAGTTTCTAAATAGTCTAAGAATTAATTGGAGTTTAGTAGTTTAAGCGGCATTAAAAACACATGTTTAGATCTTTATAACAAAAAGATCTCAAATGGCAAAAATAATGCCGGAAATGGATTCAGGACGAAAAATTGAGTGGATAGGCAAGTTTCGGAAAATTTGATGAATAATGACTTTTTCGGTGTAAAAACCGCGGTATAATTGTACCGTTAAACGCGAAATTATGATCAGTATTCTTAGGAAATAAAAATATGACGTGAACAAGAAAAATACATCAATTCTTCCTACGGTGGTGGATTAGGTGTTGCCATCTCGGGTTCTGCTTTTGGCTCTGAACTCGAGGATTCTTCTTGCTTCCTTAGCTTGGTGAGCTTCTGGTTCTTCTTTGCAGTCTTTTCGATTTCTAGATCAACCTTTAAAGGTTCGATGTTAGCTTTACCTCGCATAAAAGAGAGAAATCAATTAGTAACAAAATAAAATAAAAATTCCAATCTCAAAGATCAAAAGTTAAAATTAATATTGGCGTAATTAATCCCCGGCAACGGCGCCAAAAACTTGTTGCGAAATCGACAAGTATACCGTTTGTTTCAAGTAATAAAAGTGATGAGTAAAGATCGTTCCGTCGAGGATTAATGCACCAATGACTAATTTTAACTATTTCCTTTTTAATTGGAAAATAAAATTGGTTTGGTTGTGAAAGTCATTGGTTGTTGTAAATTTAAAAATAGAATTTTAAAAACAATAATATTTAAAAACATGCAAGAGTATCAATAATGACAAAAAAGTATGAGATTGAGTAAAAATTGTAACAAAACTGTAGCCAGGATGCACTTCACCTTCGGTCCTCCATTATATTCCAATATTATATTTTATAATTAACTAATTTGTTTGTTCAGACAATTCATTATTTTCCTATAAAATAGTTGAACTCTAATGCCTTAGTGATTTCAACCCTTTAACCCAATTAGAATCCTAGTGTCCTAGTAATTCCTCTTGAATCAAGCATTAAGCAAATGAATTAAAAGTTTGCAATCTATGTAAGCCTATGTCTAAGTCATGTACAAATTGTTATTCTACCCTTGTCCAGATTAAAACTCCAATATGTCTATTGTGAGCCCTAACCCTCAAATCCCTATAATTAGAGTGATCAGTTCTAATAAGGATATGAAAAAATTAACACAGGCAGAATAAAACAAAGTAACTAATTAACTTATAAAAACAATACAGGAAATATAAAGAATTCACATTGGGTCCAGGATCCCAACTACAAAAAGAAATTAGCCAGATATATTCATGTCTGACTTAAACAAATTAAAATAAGAAAAATTGTTCATGAAGGAAAAAGAAGAAGAAGATGAAGGATCAATGGTCTTCAGTCTTCAACTCCGTCTGAATCTTGATCTCCAGCGTGAGTCTCCAAGAATTCTCTGATTCTCACAATTCTCTCCAGCCAAAGATGTCTGTCTAAGGGTTCTCTGTCTTCCTTTTATAGACTTTGTTTCCTTGGTCCCAAATCTTGATCATATCTTTGTTTAGAATCTCCTCTAGATACACTTTGAATCCTGATTAAAAACTGTCACGTGCTTCCCGCGCTACTAGCGCGACACAATTAACAAAGGTATATGAATCCCGCGCTACTAGCGCGGATCCC